AGTTGTATTTTGAGAAGAGGACAACTTCTCTTTCTCCAGCAACTTGATCGATGGGAATTGCATCAGCTATTTCTTTCAAGTCACCAGGTGTCAGCTTGACAGCTAGAGAATTAATGTTGTCAATAAGGTCCTTAATCTTTGTTGTTCTTGTATATCATTCAATTTAAGATCAAAACCTTTCAGAGTAAATAATATTTCATCAGTCAAGATTTAAGAAAACATTGTCAATGTCAATGTCAATGTGCGACTTTTGCATGCTTACCAGGTATTGGAACCACATCATCTCCCTGATGGAGAAGCCATGCCAGAGCTAGTTGAGGAAGAGTGCAAGAATGCTTGGCTGCTAAATTGGCAAAACGAGCATAAAGTACTTTGTTCTTCTCTAGATTCTCTCCAGCAAACCTTGGGTGCTTAACCTAGAAGAACAAAATAATTAATTTAAAAGTTTTCTTATTTATATAGCTCAGTACTGTCTAATCTATCTTACCAAATATGCCCTCAAGGAGGACTAAAGATGAAAAGAAATTAGCAAATATTACCAGAAAACTCTTTGAAGGCAAGCTCTCCACAATTGCCTTCCCAGCAAAGAATCCATGACCAAGAGGGCTATAAGCTACAATTCCAATACCAAGTTCCCTAAATCAAAGAGGCGGGAAAATTTATTCCTCTCGTAACATTGATGCAAACTTTTTATTTTGGTATTTATCTTCTTAGTATTTCTCATCTAGGCCAAAGTCCAACACCATAAAGATGAATATCTAATGATTTTTTTTTAAAATATAATATTGGAAGAAAGAAACAAAATTACAAATTTTCAACTTACCTACAAAGTGGGATTACATCCTCTTCTATTTCACGAGTCCATAGAGAATACTCCATTTCTACAGCAGTTATTGGATGAACTGCATGTGCCCTCCTGATTGTATCCACACTAGCTTCGGACAACCCAATGTATCTAATCTTTCCCTCTTCCACTAGCTTCTTTAGCTCCCACATCTTTTCTCCAGAATCAACTCAAAGGAGAAAGACACGAAAGGAAAGAAATGAATACAAATTTTAGGGGCAGTATAGCGAAAATGCAGAAATATCATATAGTAACATAAATAGAATGAATTTTCTTCTAATACTAACCGTTTCCTCTATTGGCACAGATATGTCTATCCGGTGCGGATAATACAGATCAATGTAATCCACATTCAGCCGCTTAAGACTGGCTTCGATGCATTGCCGCACATACTTAGGAGTTCCTTTGACCTCTACTTGAGTGAAATCCAGCTTATAAATGCCAAATTTACTTGCTAGTTGAACTTGTTCACGAGGCAACTCTTCTAACGCCTAATAAATCATAGTAAACAACCAAATTATTTCTCTTATAGACGACGAATTTTCCGAAAATAAGTTTAGGGTATTCAATGGCATGTTCTAATTTTCAAGTGACAGAATTACCTTGCCAATCATTATCTCATTGTCGCCCTCCTGTCCATAGCGATCAGCAGTGTCAAAGAAGGTGATACCCATATTGAATGCTTCTTTCAAAATCGCACATCCAGCTTCATGCGAGAGTGGAGCATTTAGTATGCCAGAAAGTCCCCCACAACCAAAACCCGGTTTAGAAACCTGAACGCAAAAGACCTCTCAATCATGATCCCACTCTTATTAATATAACTGAGTATCTAATCAGTGTATATTTTATAAACATTATGCTTATTTTACTGGGCTTAATCTGCATGAACATAACATTAAGACAGCAATGTAATAGAATAACCACGGATCGAATGGGACAGGACAACCAGTGACAAAAGCCCTTTAGGTTCTCGATGATAAAAAAGAAAAGATGATTATTTAGTAATATCCCATTTTGCTTAATGCCAATCCTTACCAGAAGGGAAATTGGTACCATGAAGGTAGCACAAATTTAGGATCTTTATTGGAGGCAAACAAGGATAAGCTGACTTCAAGATCTAAATTTGCAGATAAGAATTATATGGCAGCAAGTTAATGTTAAAGTTAAATGAATTGTACCTCACATGCTTGCCCATAGGAATTATGGTAATTATAGTCTAATTATTCACGGATCAAGAAAAGAAATGCTAAAACTTCACTTAACGTTACACTGAAAAGGTTCATTTGTATCTTTAGAATTCAAGTACATACCATCGCTATGTTTAAAGACGTCGAAACTGGAACATACAAAGGATCAATTCACATTCAAATGGTACTACTCCAATCTAAGTCTCAAGTTTCATGCCACCAAAGACAGCCTTAGTATCTCTAATACATCATCATCAACACTATTTTGTTGTCTCGTCTACCGACAAGGCTACCTAACAATTACAATAAAGCAAACTACAGCGTGCAGCATTCAACCTCAACTAAAATATAAAATTTTCTGAATTATCATTTATAAACACATATTTTTCGACCAAACCGTATAAAGTCTACTGCCGGTCAATCTGTTTACACGACACTGCAATCAAGTAAAAGAAGATGGAGAAAACAGAGACTGATCAACCACAGACACGGGGAAACCAATGTTTTCCGATTGCCTATCAAGAAAATTTTTAACTTATCAGTCTTTGATCAGATGCATATCCATAGTAGGATGAGCTTCAAAATAAGTAAAGATAACATTTTTTGTTTCCCTATATTTTTAGATAAGTTAATCCTTTTTCCCCCCTTAAATTCCACTATAACTAATATTTTCAATTTGGATCAACGAGGAAATATATTTTTATAAGTAAGATTGAAAGAAAGGTATTACCTCCAGCCCTTGGGTACCCAATTTCAGTCTTGGCACCAGCATCCGAGGCTTCTGCTCCATTATGCCCAATACAGGAAAAATCCACCTGAAAAATTCAAAGAAGATGAGAGTTTAAGTGAGTTACTGGCAAATTATGCATTTAACTTCATAAGACTAGGGTTTATAAAAATTAATGAAAAGCGGAGCAGTAGAAACGTATCAATTGATTAGTGAAGTGTTGCCTTCCGTTTCAAAGTTGAAAGAGACCTCAGCCAATTAACATTGGCTTTCACCTACTCAGAAATAACATTTTTAAGAAATGAAATAAAAAAGAGAAAATCAATTAAAACTGCCCAAATGCCTGCTCAATTTGGTCTTATTTTTCCTTCATTCTTTTTTCCTTGGTGTTCGGGATATGAAAGTAGAATAACATGATAATGGGAAATATTCAAACTTCTTATAAGATCTGCTCCTTGTAGAAGATCTTAATCAATACACGACATGGGCTATGAAAGTAGAATAATAATGATAGTCGGACATAATCAAACATGTTGTAAAATTGAATCATTGTAAAAGAACTTTACAATGAAAAATAGCGTCATATTCTTTCGAAAGTATGTCAAATGGAACATAATTAGTTCATAATTCTCATTTGAACTAAGCGTTTTCGAGCTCCATTTTATCGTAAGAATGCATTTTGGGTTAGTAGATTGATGGATAATGTGCAGTTAAAAAATAAAGAAAAATTTTAAATTTGCGTGTAATATTATTTTATTGAAAAAATGTGTAATTAAAAAGAAGGGAGTGAAAAATACATTTTAAAAATAATTAGGATCAAACAAGGGCTATAATGAAATACACACAATAATTTCTACTTTTGACCTTTTTTTAGGTTGTTTATATCACTTTATTAGCACTATGGAAATAGTTCAAACTTTTTATACAATTAGAAGTATTCTAAGTTTTGATGCTTCGACTATCAATGGACAATAATCTACAATGAAATACACACAATAATCTACTAATGGTGTAAAAAGAAAAGTAATGATGCTTCGACTATCAATGGACAATGATGATGCTACATATATATACATGATAGGTTTACATAATAATTTACATCGCATGATGTGGTGAGATATAAATCGAGTAAAAATTTATTCAATCAAATAAAAAAAAATGATTGTCTCATATATACATGATATGATGAGATATGATTATTCTAAAATTTTTTATATTTTGTCAATCAAATAAAAAAGTTCTCACTCTTTTTGCTATCTTATCTGTATGTAAATTATTATGTATCTCCTTTATTTACAAGTAGCATTATTAAAAAAAAAAAAATCTTACTTTTTTCTTTATACCTCATATGTGTATTAAGTATAATATAATTGAATAACTGCTTATATACAATTAGCATTATTTAATGAAATAAAGTCACTTAGATTGAAAAATAAGGAGTGAAGACATAGATTGATGTGTCAGAAAATGATTGTGAGTTTTTATTTTAATTTTTCGAACTGTTTAATCACGTGTCAATAATTGTTCCATCTGAATTTGAGTCTGGATATGTAGTATGATTGTATTTAATGGACAATATTGAATGAAAGTAAATGAAAACAAAATTTGAGTTTTTTTATTTGGATATTAACGATGTTAATGCCACATCATCAATGTATTGCGTTGTTCCAACCAATAATTATGCTCCATGTGGAAATAACACTCCATGAATTTAAAGGAATTTACAATTTCCTTTTTCTTTAATTTTCATTACAATACAATCGCCGTCGAAAAATGGAGAGTAGGAGGGGCAGGTTCCGGTGTAGCAGCAAGGCGGCGTACGCCTTGACGGGTTTGTTTCTATTGAGCTTGGTGAGCCGTCTATCGGCTTTATCGGTAACGGTGAACGAAGAAGAATGCGTATACGAATACGTATTGTACGAAGGGGACACCGTTTCGGGGAATTTCGTTGTTGTTGACCACGATATTTTCTGGAGTTCGGATCACCCCGGCATTGATCTCACTGTAATAATCCCTATTCTCTCTACATATGTTGCAAGTTAGCTTGATCTGTCTGAAAGTGAGTTAAATTGGGGTAGATGGGATCTCGGTGTCGGTATTTTTGGAGAAAAATCTAAACTTTTATTTAATATTTTTTATGTGATTTTAGTTGATTTTTTAAAGGCGTTTTTTTTTTCCTTGAGTTGTACTTTTTGGTGAATTTTATGTTTTAGCATTTGATTGAGAATTTGTAAATTTTATGTTTTATAAATGCTGTTGAATTAAGCATATC